TAGTTGCTTTGAGGTAAGTCCCTATCTTGCAATTTATTTATTACTTTTGCATTATTGAGTGTTATATTATTGATTGCGCACTTGCATGATCACCTCGCATGTTAGTGGATAGGTTTAAAATCAATCCAAGCTGCCTGCAAATATTTTTTTAATAAAAGAGAAAAGGTACCGAAAGGGCACTAGAGTAATCTAGTGTAATCAAGTCTCCGAATCCATAATCTCTGGTTTATAGGAGTAAAGTAATTCTCCCGATACTTTACTTAGGTTTCTAATCGACCCACCAAAAAATAGATTAGTTGCGACTCCTGATTGAAATGATTTACATGTTAAGAACTTAAACCTTAAGTCGCGAGTTGGTAAGGGCTTGGAAGAGCACGAGTTAAATCTAAACTTAATAATCCATTAGCCGAACCCCTAGGTGGTCCATCCCGAGGGTAGGTCACGACAATGATATTATCGTCAAATGATACAATTAGTACCAACAATCTATGTCGTATTTGATATGCATTTCATTATTGTGGTGTATCGTGAAGATGTCATGCATACTTTGCCAAACCCCTACTAATAATGCTATTCACGTATATATGAAGTTATAAATTCTAAATATTATTTTCTTGATAAGCTCTTACTTTGGTAGAATTGATTTTTCTTGATCGAATTAATTTTTTCTTATTAAATTATTTCATTTTTAGATCTAAGATCAAAAGAAATTAAGTCTGATAAAGACATTAGCTTTTCTTGATTAAATCGTCGATAAACAATTAACTTCCTTTACAAAATTAGTTCATTTTATTTTTTATCAACTCGTAAAAGTTTCTTTTTTCATGCCGAGCATAACTTTCTATCTAATTTTATTCACAACGATTCATCTTTCATTGTAATCAAATCAATATATACGTAAATTACCGTGCTTTGTTATCGTCCAATAAAATATGAAATATAAAAACTCACTATAACTGAAAGTACGTCGATGCTAATATCAAGTGAATTGAAATTTTCTTTATTGCAATCGACAGACTTGAAATTTCAAAACGAATTATTACTTCACCATCTAATTGAAACTCATGGGAGAGGATATGTTCTGTCATCTCAACTTTCCATGATATACATGCTAAACCTCAATTAGTGCACGGTTTTCGGCGAACATCACATGCTCTTGCTTTAATTAAATTGTTTTAGAGGCCTTCCTTTCTCTGCCATGCACCCCTCGTTGATGTACCACGCAACGCTGAGATTTTTGTTTTTACTAATAGAGCCATCGTGAGCTGTCAAGAAGTATAATATTTGGGTGACCCTTTCCGATTCAAGTCATGAAAATCAATCACCGCATACAAAATTTCGCATAATTTTAAAAAATACAAGACAGTTATATATATTATATATACTTATTGTTTATGGATTAGCTAAATAAATCAAATAACTTGTTGGGCTTGATAACAACATGATATCCTAGGAGCATACAAATGTATTCCTTGATTTAACCTCTTAAATTCCAATATATGGATGAACCTATCTCTTTCGCCCCTTTGATGAATATAATTTATTGGCTAATCGTTGAATTAAGATCTAGCATTATTATGATATTTCACTTGCGTGAATGTAGTTTCGATTTAATAGATCAAATGAACATATTATGTCAATTCAGACAGACAACCTTTGCTTTTTCGCTCTTCCTAGGTAAAAAAAATCCCCTTAAAGGCCAAATGTATGATGATACTCAGTACCTAAGATCCCGGAGTTCACTCAAAAAAGGGTCAACAAGTCAAATTTTAGAAGAATTATCGGGAGTATTACCAGTTGGAATCGGTCAAATGAGGCTCTTTGTAATGTTATCCATCGTGCTAAAGTTGGGGTAAATGAACAAATTGGCCACAATTGAAATTTCTTAGAGCATCTGTTAACAAGATAACCTCAAGAATTTGTCATCAAATGAAACACCCCAGACCAAAACGGAATTGATTTCGACAATCATTTGGACTGAAGAGGGGAAAAAGCTTGCTCAAGAACTAATTGTGAGATGGAGAAAGTTCAAACTTTGGGATAGACAATTTTGGGGCTGATGATAAAAACTAGAAAAGTATTTGGCCATCTCCCACACATGCCAGGTCTTTTTTCACGTGCAAGCGACCCTGGTCTATGTCTCAGCCTCTTAGGTCTCTTCCTAGTCTTCCTCAGAATGATAAATCAGACTTTCATTGAACGTGAGCCTCTGGCCGACATCCTTAAGTTTCCACATTCCATCTGCACATCAATCCCATCTTCCTCGCTGACATAAAGTCATCTTCAATTTTATCCCTTAAAAAGAAATCCACAATTACCTCATGAATCGGAAGCATATACATTCAGAATGTCTTTTGAATGGAATAGATGTCACGTGAGGTCGACCGTATTTAATAACGTTTTTGTATTTGGCTACGTGCATTATGTGAGAGTAAAGTGTAATTCTACCATCACAGTTTTGTTAATTCACCTCTTTGATCCGAGATTAATGTTGACATTGCTTATAAAAAATCAAAACATACCGACCTCCTTAGTAAATTGACGGGTGACAAGGGTCGACAAAAAGGACAGCATCTAAGTTAACAATTTGGGGATATTAATATTTGTGAAGGAGGATATCGACTTTTTATGTGGCAGAATCTTTACGACATCTCACAATCAGCACTTAAGCAAGCTTTTTCACCTTTTTCTTTTTCAAGAAACAACAATCACCAGTTTTTAGAGATAGACCAAGCGTCTATCCGTTCGAGGGGAAAACTGTTTAGGAAAATTATTTTTTGATTTTTCGATATTTAGATGACACGTAATTAGTCGGTTTACAGAAAGTGTTTTCTATATGTATTGAAAACAAAAAATTCATATTAGGGAAAAATGGCTTCCGCTTATGGTTAGAAGGAAATCATTTTTCCTGATTTCTTGCTAATTTGTATTCGTTAAATTAGCTTAAATTAGATTATGTTAATGCATTTTAGTGGACTCAGCTATTCATCAAACACCATAAACATAATTTTTCTTAACTTGATTTGGCACAAACAAACACACACAAAAAATGATTTATTTTGTCTGAAATTGAATTTTATGAAAATCTTTTTCAAGCGATAATAAGCTTTTATTGAATCAGACACATCCTCTTTCTCTTTCTCTTTCTGCTGCTCACTCTTCAGTAGCTGTAAAGGCAAAAAAAAAAAATTGAATGTGACAAGCCATTAGACACCTAAAGTAGCTTTATCTTCGATCAAAAAAAAAAAGTAGCTTTATCGTACAGTTTGATGACAAGGAGCAACCCATATTCCTTAACCAGCTGTAAAGGCCAAAAAAATAATAAATTAACATTCCAAAAAATCTCAAATTATATTTATTGTGACATAAATATCCTTAACCTTAAACTTATCAATTATAATACAAATACCCCAAATTTTAAATTTATCCTAGTGGAAAGGGTATATATATCACGCATATATAAGTTTGGATTTTTTCGTGACACAAATTTTTTTTTTTTTGTATTTGTGTCATAATGGTCAAGTTTGGGATTTTTTGTGATAAAAAAGAGTTTGAGGTATTTATATCATAATTGACATACTTTAATGTTTTTTTGTGGTATTTGTCCAAAAATAATTGAGTGTTACCAGCCATTATGCACCTAAAGTAGCTTTACCCTACAGTTTGATGACAAGGAGCAACCCATCTTTGTTTACTTCACTCCAATCAGTGTCGGCGAAATAGGGATACCCACTTCAAGTCCCTTTAACTATCGGACTTTCCACTCCGGAGAATCGGCATCAGCATCGTCCTCCACTCCCAACACCATACTTCTTCTTCTCAAGTCCTGCCCTTCTTTTGTCTTCAGGTTCTGTTTCTTTGATCTCTTGACTCATTGCTTCTGTTCTTTGATGTTCTTCGTGTGTGTAGCATATTCTGTTAGATCTGCATTTTGGCAATGGTTTTCTTTGTCTTCGGATTGATCTCTTTTGACGACCCTTGAAACATTATAAGTTTGTTGCTTTTTGAAATATGCATTCACATTCAAGTATTCAAATTGCCTGCTCGCAATCACATGCTCTTTCTGCAATTACAATTAGCTAGATGAACATTCGTTTTGTTTTTGTGAACTTCGAATGCTTTGGATTGGCTAATTTCGATCTGCATTTAGCTACTGCTAATTTCTGCCTTACCACAGCTTCTAGATTGCCCTAAAAAATCTGGTCATCTGAATTTTATTGTGAACATAATTTGAATTTGCAGTCCACAACCTTACATGTCCACGGCGAAAATTCTAAAAATCTGTAAAAGTGATGATTTGCATATTATAAAAAAATTAGTAATTTCATAGGAATGCTACTAAATTACTTGAAACTTGAGTAACTCGTAATTTTTTTTAAGGTTAATATCACAAAAAACCTCAAATTGGTACACTTGTGACAAATTTACCCCAAATTAATTTTTTGACCACAAAAAACTCCAAACTGGTATACCTCTAATAAATTTACTCTCTGTTAGTTTGTGTTAAATTTTACCGTCAAATTTTTGAGCTGGATGACGTGTGGTAGTTAACAAGTGTACCAATTTGGGGTTTTACCCTTATTTTATCACAGGTGTACCAGTTTAAAAAATGCTATTAATTCAATTTATCGGAAATTAAGGTATGGTAAATTTGTTATAAATATACCAGTTTGGGGTTTTTAACGATAAAAACATTAGTTTGGGGTAAGTTTATCACAAGTATATTAATATAAAATTTTTTGTGATAAAAAATTAATTTAAAATAAATTTATCACAAATATATTAATTTAAAATTTTTTCATGATATTAACCTTTCTTTTTACTCATAACTTTTCTCTGAGATGATAGTAGTTACTCAATTGTCTTTAATGATTTGCGTCCATCCTTAATGAGCAAGATGCTGTCTTGTAAATGGCGTAATTATATGACTGTTTTGGGTGTCGAATGGTCACGATCATAATTATCATCACTTTTTTTAAAGTCCAATCATGACATTGGCCAGAGATAAAAGGAAATGAGCATAAAATATGGTCGGCGTTGGAGTCGTAATGCGTCGGGATCAACGGGGGATGGACAATTATTGGATAGCTTGATGGGAACGCAGAGTTAATGTTTTTTTTCTTCGAAAAGGCACTGCTTAGAAATCTGGTTAAATAGTAGTTTGACAGTACAAAATATTAGCTTGAGAACAAAGCAACTCCAAACGGCTAAAAGGAGATAAGACACCTAATTAGAGGGCAAGATTTTGTTGGGATGGATTTTGACGACCCAACCCACAACCTTATTATAGTCTTTCTTACAATGAGTTATCTTCGGATCGTGGAATTTTGTCCAGAGTTAGTTGGGCCATCAAAAGATGATATGGCGGACCCTTTTTTTTAATTTTATCAAAGTATGCATTTTAATAAATTATAGTTGTTCATATATTTATACATGTATATTAATATATAGGATTTAACTCCAGTCAATCAGCAAAATTTTGTCGCATCACTATAAATTATTTTGAAAATTTGATATGTTTTAATATTTTCATACTTAAGTTTAGATCTGGCCTAAAATTTAAGATTAGGTACACTTGGCCGAACCACCACATCAGTCCGTGGCATCTTATTAATTTCTTTCATTTATATGATCGCAAGAAACCGTTTGTATTTATTCATGCTCTCGCGATCTTACACAACACTTTTAAACTCGGAACTATTTGCTATGATGGCATACACAATTTTGTTAGGACTTCTATTAGATTAATACTTGAAAGAAAAATAACTAGATTAATCTATAATGCAATATTTTAATGATATAATGTCTCCTTACACCACCTCTGTTCCCTTGTAATAACTTCATTACTTGCACCGCCTAGGCTCAATGGAGGTAGAGATATCTATAGAAGAGGAGAACGTTGGCACGGACAACTCGATCAAGGAGGAGCTAAAGAAGGATGAAGAAGGAGCGTTCAAGGAAAAGTTAGAGGATGAAATGGATTCTTTGAAGGAAGAAGAAATCTGGAGGAGTCGACGGGAGAGAATCAATAATGCATTGGAGGCTGCGCGAAACACGGAGCGACAAGATCCGGCAGAAGTGTATGCAGTTGCTGGAAGACTGGCGAGTGTCATCCTCAGCGCCGATGTCAAAGAGTTCGTTTCTGAGATCGAAAGGCTTGCCAATCAAACCGACCCGTCTGCCGTTTTCAATTGCTTGTCAAAAGCAGGGAAAGGTTCACTGCTCCACATTGCGTTATATACCAGTAAGGACGACATCCTGAGGCTCCTTCTTGATTATGTCCCTGGCGATATCATAGCCGCCCAAAATGACAGAGGAGATACCCCCCTCCACGTGGCAATTATGGCTAAGAGACCTAGCGCTACTGCGATGCTGATTCGCCGGATAAAAGACCTCCCCAACATCGAGGACAAGAACAAGATCCTGAGGATGAAGAACAGAGATGGAAACACCGCTTTGCACGAGGCCGTGCTTAATCGTGACATCGAAATGGTGCGCCATCTGTCAAACGAAGATTTGGAGCCCGTGTACTGGAAGAACGCGGATCAGGCGTCTCCCCTGTACTTGGCCATTGAATCTCCAGGCACCGCAATATGTGAGGTTTTGTTTTCACTCCCGCTTGAGCCATACAGGATCCAAGGCTTGCCGCCCATTCATGGTGCCATCATACGTTTACGCCGTGGTAAGTACCTAAAATCTGTTTACCGGAGTTATGCATGTGTAGACTAACCTCGTTCCAAGTCCGTGCAGCAACTTTCTGCCTTTGCCAAAACCTCATGCGGTTTTTCACATAAAATCCCATACCATGCTTATTAAAGTAGTTGGATAACTTTGATAAAAATAAATATAAAAAGTAGTCGGATACCCATTGGGTGCTCGCAACCAGCCATATAATTCTTTTAGTGAACAAATTATCTCATATTAGAGCATGATAGGTCAGCTTAAATTTACAGACATCAACCATTTTACTAAGGAGAATGAGCGGGTGATGGTCCATTACTCTTATTGTCAATAACGTAACCACTACAGCCACAATACACTTTGTAGAACACCGGATGACTTACTCATCAGGTTTCAGAAAATTAAAATATAAAAACCAATTTCTTCTTTTGACGTTTCTTTGTACAAAAGGCAAGTCGTGCTCATGGAAAAAAGTGAAGGAAAACGAGAAGAGGACGGTACCGTTAATTTGAAAACGTGACGGACCGATTTTAACCACAATTATTCCACAGAAACCTGATGCCTTTTTTTTTAATCCAGATGCAAAGAAGATTGGGGCTATATGGCTGTGACCTTTTATAAAACAAAAATTAGAATAAATGAGAAAATTATCCAAAAAGTCCTAAACCTACTACATTTTTTCCAATTTGGTCATAAACTTTTTAATTTTGTCAATTGAGTTCTAAACATTTTCACATTTTACCAATTAAGACAATGGGGCCAATTTTGGCTAGAAAACGCTCATGTGGACGCCGGCCGTGCCATGTAAGATGGCCGGCACTGACAATGCTAGATAGTTTTTAATAATATTTTATAAATTAGTTATTATTTTTTTCCTTTTTTTCTTATGTTTTTTTCTTCCCTTATTACTCCTCTAGCTAGTTGCCAACCATTGGCAATGGCTGATGATCGTGGCTAGGCGAAAAGCGACCTTGCTAGGTCTGGCGAGGCCGAGCCTCGCCCAATGACGGCTAGGTCAGGCCTTGCCATGACTATGCAAGGCGCGACCTCGCCAGATCTGGTGAGGTTTGCCTCGCCTAGCAATGCCAAGGTCGGGCCTTGCTATGGCTGGGCGAGGCTCGGCCTCAACGACCACTGGTGAGACTTGCCCTCACCGGTGGTTGATGGGGGTGAACTCCGCCAGAGGCCCGTGACCAACTAGGGCTAAAGGAGGAAGAAGGAGGAAAAAAAGAAAGAAAGAGAGAAATGAAAAAAGAAAAATTATTTAAAAAATATTATAAAAAATTATTTACGTCAGTGTCGGCTGTATCATGTAGGACGGCCGGCATCTATATCAGCAATTTCTAGCTAAAATTGATCGGATTGACTCAATTGGCAAAATGTGAAATGGTTTAGGATTCAATTGGCAAAATTGAAAGGTTTACAACTGAATTGGCAAAGTATGATAGATTTAGGGCTTTCGGGACAATTTTTCCAGAATAAATGCATTATACTATTCTAAAATTATGATCTATATACATATTGCCTTATACACAAATTTGGGCATTCAAATTTAGTTCTCTTTTTTGTTCCTGAGTATTATTTGAATGAAACAAATTTCACACCAACATTAATTTAGGAGGCAAAGCCTGAGTGTTATACCGTTACTCCTCTAATAAAATTATCAAGTCAGATCTCTTATTAGAAAAGGAAGTATGTCCACTCATGTGTGGTATTAGTTATAAGGGAAAATTGTCTAAAAGTATGAAACTTATTGCACTTTTGTCAATTTAGTCATAAACCTTTCAATTTTACTAATTGAGTCTTAAACATTTTTACATTTTGTCAATTGAGTCGATCTGACTAATTTTGGCTGGAAATTGCTGACGTGAACGCCAGCCAACATACGTGACACAGCTAGCGCTGACGTGGATAATTTTTAATAATATTTGAATTTTTTTTTGAATTTTTATTAATTTTGTCCTTTTTTATTTTCATCTCTTTTCCTTCTTTACTTTTTCTTTTTTTTTTTTCCTTTTCTCTTCTTTCTTTTTTCTTTTTTTCCTTTTTCCCTCTGCTAGCCACTGCCGGGCCTCGTCGATGCTGCCGGCCTCAGTGGAGGGCAACTGTAGCCCGAGGTCGGTGAGGGCGGCCTTGCCATGCCAGCAAAGGCTACCCTCGCCCAATCCGATGAGGGTAGCCCTCGCCTGAGGCCAGCAGAGGTCGTCGACCATTGACGAGGTCTAATGGCGGCCAATGGTGGGAAAATGGGAAAAAGAAAGAAGAAAAAGAAAAGAAGAGAAGAGAAAAGGAAAAAAAAGGAAAAGAAGGAAAAGAGAAGAAAAGAAAAAAGGAAAAATAAAGAAAAATAAAAAATCAATAAAATTTTTGAAAAAAATACTAAAATATTATGAAAAATTGACCACGTTAGCGCTAGTTGTGCCATGCAAGATGGCTGGTGTTCATGTCAGTGATTTCCAACCAAAATAAGCCAAATGGACTCAATTGGTAAAGCGTAAAAATATTTAGGACTCAATTAACAAAATTGAAAAGTTTAAGATTGAATTGGCAAAAGTGTCATAGGTTCAGAACTTTTTTAACAATTTTCCCTAGTTATAACATGCCGAAGGCACTATTTGATAACTAGTTCACATAAAAACACAAATAAATCTTTAATAATTTGACCTAAAATTTGGATGAAAACAAAAAAATTGTGTTGTTATTTGATAAGAAAAGGAAAAAGACAGGACGAAGAGAATAGTAGAAAAGGAAAATGAAACCGTGAAGGAAGTGACATCGATAAGAGAGATGAGCGAGGAGAAAGAAACGTGGTTATAGTCATTAATATTAAATTATTACTTAATTTGAGTATTGAGCATAAAAGCATTTTAGTCACTTCAAATACAAAGTTATGGTTTCATCCAAAATAGGATGGAAATTGCCCCATCCTTCGCAAAATTATATCTTTAGTTTTGTTATAGAGTAAATTTAATTTGACAAATGATTTATCATTTTCGGGTTTCAGATTTACCTATCTCAAATCCTAGAGTTAGAAAATGCATACTTACTAATTAAAAAGCCTAAGAAATATCAAGGAAGTAAAAGCATCTAGTAATTACTACAAATTAGGTTCGGATATCAGATTTCCCAATTATAAATCATAAAAAACGTCCCAAACTATATAGCACTTTTAGAATTTCAATAAATTTTTCCTAATTCTCCAATAAAAACGTGTTTACTTAGGTGGCTATGTATAAAGATAGTGGTTAGTGGGTAGTTGTAGGTATAATACAAGGATAACTTTAGAAAAACAAAATTCTCACAAGTCATGTAGTACGGATAAGGGGGTAATGCTGCATATATTAAAGTTCTACTCAGAAAACCTTACTAAATGATATGGTATTTGTCATGTCATCAACACTGTGTAGATCAAGTAAGAATAATGCAATGAAAATTAAAACGAAAAAAAGCCATAAATTGAACAAGATCAAGGCTGCCCTATTCAATCAAAATTATCACTACAAGTTTCAGCATTGCAATGTTATCCAACATCTGGCAACTGTCAATCCTAGTTGTGATTAAGGTTATGTCGAAGATATCCTTGTCCCTAACTTGGAGCTCCTCATCTCAGATTTAGTCGACCTGATACTCAAAAAGAACATGGAGCTATTTGCAATGAACGACTCCAGAGGCGGTAATGTATTCCATTTAGCAGCTTACTTGAATATTGCCTTCGTGTTCGAACTCTTAGGACCGGAAACTGAACATTTGGTCCAACAACCGGATATGAATGGGGATCTTCCCATTCATATTGCGAGCAAGAGGGGTTATGTTGATCTAATCGAGAAGCTACTTCCGATATCAACTGGGTATAACGGGCGAGGACAAAACATTGTTCATGTGGCAGCAAAATATGGGAGAACTAAAGTGGTCAAATATGTTCTTAGACATCCAGAATTGTGGACGCTGACAACTGATAGAGATCATGCTGGAAATACGCCTTTACACTTGGCAGCGATGTATTCACAACCCGCCGCTTTGATTCCTCTTGTGCTGGACAAAAGAATTAATCTTGCCCGTGTCAACCACGAAAGCCTGACTGCTTTTGCCATTGCTCAAAATCTCTTCATAAGGGCGCCTACAATACGGAAGGTAGATAACATGAATCGTCACTGTTTTATTTATCAACTTACTGGAAATTTTGATAGACTAATACCTTAATTAAGCGCAGATCTCGTATTCAAATGATTATGTCTCCCAGTCGATAGCATTGTTGAAGCATTGATCAATTTTCTGGAACAGCCAAGACTCCTCTAGGATTAATGCTCTTTAAATCTCTAATTTAGTCTTAATAGTAGATAGCTAAAGCTTGTTGCCATGAATATGTCTGTGGGTAGAAACAAGTTAGATATCTCCGACAAATGCTTAGATAAATTGTTATATATCTTGATTAATTGAGCCTATAAATACGGTCACGTATAGAAACAGGGAGTTGTGTTGCATTCTTCTTATTTTTTTCAAAAAACCAGGGGTCAATGTGGCAAATTTTTACCACTTTGTATATGGCATAATCTCATAACATTATGGTAAAGTCAACCTATGACACGACAAACCATATACATTTAATTATTGCCTTTTCTTTCGTCAAAAAAGAACTTGCACTCTAGGATTAATTCTGTAAAAAGAGCGGACACTGCATCTTTAGAAATAAAAGTTTCCCTTTAAATGAGTACTCCAGAGTTCTTTCCCGTTATTAATATGGTAACGATTTGTTCTTTTTGTTCTCTTATATGGTCCCGATCTCAGCGATTGACATTAATGGTGTTGGCATCCTCGACACTTTGGAAAACTATAGCTGTGAGCAGAGACTTACTTATACTTAGGCCAGAAGCTCGAGATGATGCGTTTTCATACACCTGGCGCAAATCGAAGCTAAACATGGACGACCTGAAGGATGTCGTTAATACCCGTCTGCTGGTGGCAACGCTTGTGGCCACCGTGACTTTCGCAGCTGGTTTTGCAGTTCCTGGAGGATTTAACGGCTCGGACACAGCCTCCAAAGATGACCGGGGCATGGCTACTATGCTGGACAAGAGATTGTTCCAGGCCTTTGCAATTTGCAACACCATCGCGATGTTCTGCTCAATGACCGCAGTCATCAACCTCGTCCCTGTGGAGGGACACGACTTCGAAGCTGCAGTGGCTGCATTGCGGCACTCAATGCTGCCGCTAGCAATTGCACTCCCGGCAATGTCCGTCGCTTTCTTAACTGGTGTCACCTTGACTGTTGGCAAACTCCCTTGGCTTGCTAACACTATATTTTATTTGGGGCTCGTTTTCCTCCTAATTATCTCAGGCGCTACATTGATAGAGTACCCTCCTTTCCTTCGGAGTCATCATCGTCCTATCCGTCGTCTAATATTTTGGCTTGTTCTCGCTTACATTTATTTGTGGGGAGTTGGGACGCACCTTTTGGATGACTCGGAAGAAGACGGAACGGCGAGCGGGACCTCAGCTAGTCGGCCTCCAGATGGTGCTGGTGATCGAATGACTGACAACTCGGCGACAGCAAAATGTGAGGACGTGCCACGTCCTCCCAGAAACTAATTTCTGTTGATCATTCGATGTTATCTATGAGTTGAATAAATAAACATATATTCGCCTTTGTCTATTTCGTTCATTCTACAATTGCTTTCATATTGCGTTATTTAAATAGCGATTGTCAAAGTATTTAAATAAAACCCTATCTTTCTCAACTAGCTTGAACTTTTAATACTTGGATGTGTCCTGTCACGCCCCGAACCCCAACGAGCGTGCAACATCCCTCCGAGGTCGTCAAGTACGCGACATCCCAGGGCTTGTCGCCGACCCAAACCGAATCGCTAACGAATAGCATAAGTGGAAGCAAATACGAACTCTCCATACAACATACAATTTAACGGGATAGTCAAGAAAACACTTCACATAAAAACCAGCAAGTCATTATAAGCTCACAAAGATAACCCAAGGAGGTTTACACAATTACAAGCCTCACACGAAGCCACTTCCTAATGAAGCCACGGATATAAAGAGGAGGTTAACTTAAACTCCTCTACAACAGGGCTTTCAAAATGATGATACATCCAATGCCCAACATCACCCCAGAATTCCGAACCGCACGTGACGACTACTCGTCATTTCAAGCCTGAAAATGTTTAACAACAGGGGATGAGATAAATCTCAATAAGTAACTACCTAAGCATCGCTTAGGCTAACGCGTACCTCTGAACAATCCTAATCATGCAATACCGACATCCAACATGTCATAATAATCACAGGCGCCCTTACCTTGTATCGGCACATACACAAGCCCTACATGTTAGAATCCCGCCATAACATGGCCAATTGCTCATCAAGCTTGTACAACGCAATTCAAGGCATAATCATGCATGATACGGTTAATAATCTAGACATGCTCATCAATTAACTCAGGCAAAGCATTCCCCAATGCAAATCGCACTCATTAAGTCCAGATTATTAATGACCCCTCGGGCCATTGAACTCCCGCTAGTCTTTTAGCGTAACCAGGCATCGTCCCGCTACGTCGGCGACGGCAACGTTGGGGATCGAACACCCCCCGACAAGCCGGGTACCCAACGGCATTCCACTTAGGAGCATCGATCCGACCTCCACCGCGATCAGCATCGTCTGGGATCGAACACCCCCCGGCAACCCCGGGTACCAGATGGCATCCGAACTCCCGTCGGGCATCGTCTAGAACTCCTGCCTAGACGGAATGTGTCGTGACCATGCACACACCTCAGCAATCATTACCAATTCTTATCTTTGTAAATTAGCCCAATGTCAACTAAGTCCATCAAAACGCCACGATAACACCGAATAATTCTCGAGAGAGAGAAAAACCGAGAATGTACAAAACCGGGTCCAAACTAGGCAATTGCGCAATGACCGAAATCCGTTTGAAATGAATAGTAAATCAACTCTAAAAATTCTAAAATTTGGATATGTTGTACAAAACATCTTGGTAAACATTTTTCATGAGGAAACGAAATCCAGTTCTGATTTTAAACGCCTCTTTTTGTAACTCAAAGCTGGAAAGAACCCGGTTCGCTCGGACAGCCCCTCAGACCATCAAAATACAACTCGTTCAGTACCAAAATCACTTTGGAAAGCTCTGAAATTTTTATATATCATAGACACAGATGTTCTTAACAATTTTTGTGAAGAAATTTTATTGAAAAGAGGTCTAGAAAAAGTTATAGAAAATCGGAAATACCAGAAGGTCGGATGAACAGTAAATCCGGCAGACTGAATTTGGTCCAAAAATGGACTTACGAATGACCCTAAATGATCTCCAAAAATTCCATATTTAATATATGTTATAATAAAAGATGTTATGAGAAAATTTCATGAAGAAAACTTTCTCAAATTCGGCCCACACAAGTCACAGAAAAAATAGCAAAATCCATCGACGTAGCAGCAACCTTATTGGAAATCAACCAACAAGCACCACCAAGCAAACCAAGCACAACGAGCCACTAAACCAACTATCCATAGCCCTAATCCAGCCCTAAACATGTTCATTAGTAACCCATTATCCTAATCAAGGCTTAGGGAGCACTTACTCAAGGTCTAAACAAGATTTTCAAGCTAGGGAGCCTAACAAAGCAAAGCCAAGCCAAGCAAGCAGCAGCTATTCCGGCGGACGTACGGGTGGCTGAGCAAGGGAGCTGGTCGGTCTGGTGAGCAGCAGCAAGAAAAAGCAAGAAGCAAGGAAGCAAAATGTAGAAGAAAACAACAGCAACAGAAGTGAAGAAGAAGAAGCAAAAGAGAAGAAGAAGCAGCAATGATGGACAGAAGCAGCACGTGAAGCAGCATGGGGTAGCATGGGTCAATGGTCAGCAAAGCACACGTGAAGGTGCAGCAAGAAGTTAGCAGCAAGAGCAGAAACAACGTGAGGGAGTCAACGGGCGTGAAGGAAGAGAGGAAGTCAGCGGCAACGTTGGGGGCCAGCGGGAAAGAAGGAGAAGAGAGAGAGAGGAGAGAGAGAAGAGAGAAGGGTTCAACATTATTCACAAAATATTTTGCCCAATTTTCCTTATTCCAAATTTCCGATCAACCCGACGATTGGCCACGTTTAATGAGACGTTGTCCGACAAATTAGTCGTGGAAATTTTGAAACTTCGATACCCGATTCGAATTCTAATTAATGGCCAAATTGAATCGAACGCGGCTTTAGTATATCTTAAACTAACGGACGACTTTTAGGAATTTACGCGTATCAACTCGTGGCCGATTTGATATCGAGCCACATCTAAGTTTACTCGAGCCGTGGCGACCTCGGTTGTCATGTAATTGTGAGGGTCAATCACTAGTTCCGAATGACGCGATCGTTCGGATTAGGTTTAGGATAGTTCAAAATTCATACAATGGCTAAGTGGAATTACCCGCGATCCAATTGCACGATATTTGTGAATCATTCCGTAATCATCCTTGGATCGGCCTTTAATGGCCCAAAATATTCCCTCGCCAATCCTTATGGTCGAAGTGTCAATCCACGGCCAAGTTCTTAGGTCCACGTACTTGATTCCTAGCTAGTCATTCCCTAACGGTTAGTCTACTCGAGAGTGATCAATTCTGAGCGAGATTTAACTGAAAGCGCATGAAAGAAATATTTATTTTATAAATCCCGAAAATGAGTCGAAATTCAAAATGTCACATGTCCCACCAAATTTCACAGCAAATTCTAAGTTCAAACCTTTCGAGGCTCTATTTGCCTTCTCGGTTGTGAGATTTTGTGGGATCACTGCCAATTGTTCTAAAAGCTTAAGCTGTTACATAAAGGTATGGTTTAATATTAAAGTATTCTATCATTCCCTCTCACGCTTAGTCTGGTCTTTTTGCCTAATACTAAAAGTTGACATATTTAACTAGGGAGGCAAATGGGGCATGGTAAGATTTGAACTCACAACCTCATGCTCTGATACCATGTGAGATTTTTTTATGGGACCATCGCCAACATTTCTAAAAGCTTAATATCAAGTTAAAAATAATAATGCGAAAAAGAGAGTTGTGTAATTTTCTGTATATTTCAATATATCATAATAAAGATTACATCAGCCTATTTATAGGCTTAACACTAAATAAGATAACATATCGATCAAGATACTCCCAATCAAAGAGAGATATTCGCATAATTTTAAGAGATATAGAAAATTGTTAGAATTGAGAGATCCAGAAAATCATCAGAATTATCCTAAATATCTCTAACATCCCCTCAAACTCAAGGTGCATTGAACATGTCAACTTGAGTTTGATTACTAGTCTGAATAGTGTCCAATGGCTGACACGTGGCGAATGATGCCGCTATTGATGGTGAAACTTCCAGATCTTGCTGGTTTGAGAGCAGCGATCTGATAGTAGTGTGGCTTCTCGAAACGACACACGAAACGTCGAGAATCGGGGGAGAAACAGCAAGTGGCCGATGCAACTGATTTGCAAAATAATAACTAAGCGACACGGCCTATACGATTGGCATCGTAGCATCAAGCGGCCTATATGGATGGCTTGGGAAAATAGTTACTGGGCGATACGACCTATGCAGCTAGCATCGAAAGAAAAGCCACCTCAGTGAAAGGTTCAACTGGGTGATGCAATCGTTGCGGTTGGCATCGAAACACGACTATCATGGAATGGACTCAACTAAGCGCTTCCTCATATGAGAGGGCTTTGCAAACTATGCGACAACAGCATGTTGGCTATCAATGTTGAACTCAACGTTGATTGAAGGATATAAAGACTTACTGGGAAAAAAGAAGAAGAAGCAAAATTAGCATTGGATGGGTACTTGGGTGTGCATCGGTGCACTTCAACATCGACTAGCTCAAATACCAATTTCAAAAAAATAATGCAGAAAAGAGAGTTGTGAAATTTTTTGTATATTTCAATATATCATAATGAAGATTACATCAACCTATTTATAGGCTTTATGAAAACACTAAATAAGATAACATATAAATCAAGATATGCACAATTAAAGAAAGATATTCGCACAATTTTGAGAGATATAGAAAATTATCAAAATTGATTGGTACAAAAAATCATCAGAATTATCTTAAATATCTCTAACTAACATCCCCTCAAACTCAAGATGCATTGAAGATGTCAACTTGTGTTTGATTACTAGTCTGAATAGTGTCCAACGGCTAAGATGTGGCGAATAAGGCGGCTATTTATGGTGAAACTTCCACATCTTGCTAGTTTGAGAGTGACGAGTTTGGTGGTGGTGTGACTTCTCGAAACGACATGCGAAACGTCGAGAATCAGAGGGGAAACAGCAAGCGGTTGATACAGTTGGCTTGCAAAACAGTAACTAAGCGATACTGCCTATACAACTGGCTTGGAAAAATAGTTACTAGGCGATGTAGCCTATGTGGATGGCATCGAAGGAAAAGCCACCTCCTTGAAAGGTTGGACTGGGTGATACGGTTGTTGCGATTGGCATCGAAACATGACCATCATAGAATGAACTCAACTAAGTGCTTCTTCATATGATGCAAACTATGCGACAAAAGCACATTGACTATCATTGTTGAAATCAACATTGA